CATCTGGGCCTGACTTTCCTTTCCTTTTCGCCCTTGTGTAACTGATGTCTGTATAAATTAGATATGAAATAACATATCTAAGAATCGGGCTCTCTTTTTATCAACGTAAAGCTGACTGCAAGCAAAACACATGCTTTGCTTTAGTACCGGTGCGTTCACACACTTCAAAATATCTGTTCAAGGCATTCGTATTAGGCACATGCTCAATTATCTGCACGTGCATCATTTCAGGGTGCAAGACTGCCAAACTCGGATGCCGCTAGCCTCAATCAGCAGTTAGAAAAATAAGGAGCTCAGAGTACCATTGATCCTAGGAAGATACAAGACAGCATCTTTACCTTGCAGCTTCCTCCTTGCAAGGGCAGCCTCCCCTGGCCGTAAGCATAACATCAGTGCACCTTGCCTCAGATTTACCTGCTCACACTCCCTTACTCACAGTTCCAGGGCTAACGTAAAATGTGATGGCAGTAGAAAGAGAGATGGAGACTAAATGGATGAATGTTTTGGAACCTGCATGGTGTGTCTTGCAGTACGTTCAGCCCTGAAATTTTAACTTCCTACTAGCCTCCTACGACATGTCCATTAACTGCTCTGAGACATACACAGGCCACCACCCTGGAGCCTTGTGATATCGCCACCTGGCAGTTGTCCCCTGCCCGACTTCTGCAGATGCATGCTTCCTTCACAGCCACGATAACACTGCCTGGAAATACCAGGTGAGGTCACCTTCAAAGGCTGTCCAACTCAACTTTGAAATGAAGCAGATTGGGAGGAACTTATTACCACTACTTGGTAAAGGTGTGGGAATGAATGAATGACCAAGAATGGTAACTTCCTAAATCATTGCCATTAAATCTGTCAGTACAAGTTTGCCTCTGGCTTAGGAGCAATATTTTTTAATAAATAAATAAAAACTGTCATCTCATAAATAAAAATTCTCATCCTCACTAGGTCAGATTTTAAAAGTAGTGGGACTATATTTACACTTGTACCGTCATAAAAATAGTCAAGACACCCTTATTCTTCCTCGGCTCAATGCGAACAACTCTGATTCCAACAAAGCCAACGTCAACAAAGACATCAGGTGATTGCAAGACTTAGTCGACAGTAAACATTTATGATTTGATGCTTGAGGGGTAAAAAAAAAAATAGCATGCTCAAAGTATTAATTTATGTCCAAATAAATACCACAGCAGCAGCATGATTTTGAATAAATGCACACCAACCAGAGAAGGCATCACACTCTATTGAATGGCCTAGAAAATGTCAAGGACCAAAACATTGTTGAGCTTCAGTTTCTCTTTTAGTACCTTACTTTAGAAATCAATGTTGAAAATTAAGAGCTAGACAAATACAACAACAAAGAAAAACAAAGCAAGAAGTGGGATTACTAAAGCCATGCTTCTTCTGGTATGTTTTAATCATATGATGTTTAACAACTAATTGAACTTGCTACTTCAATGAAAAGTAGCAAAACTGAATTACAGTTTACTGGAATACTTTTTAAAACTACGATTCATGCCTTGAATTTGAAAAAAAAAAAAACCAACAACGAAAAAGAAAACAAAAACTCCAGCTCCAATTACACTGTTCATATGATGCTGCTAACAAACAACTTAAATTTCATACATCTTCCCTGAAGTATAAACCGAAGATGTACTGTAGAAATTCCAGGATAACTACATAGTCCTAACAAACAGGTTTTGGTAACACAAAGTGACACATTTCAGTACATATTCATAAGGGTTGGGGGTTATTATTGGGCTGTAATTGCAGTTGTTCTAACACCTAATAAGCCATGGCTGGAAAAACAAAGGCAGGTTAATTTGTGATTTCCTCTACTCATTCAGAGGCAAATTAAGTGTCAAACAGCTAATACAGAACATATTTCATTTTATGAGATTTTAATTTAATTCTGCGCCATATCGTTGATGCCTTAATGTAGGGTGGTTTATCTAAGAAGAAGAGCAATTTATAAACCTCTTTCAATTGAAATCTTTAATGATAGGATACGATAGCATAATTACAGCAATGCCTGCTAGTCCTACTATACATAAGCATCTGTCAGCAATTCCATCATAAACATAAACCCTTATTTTAGGGGTTTATAACTCAGTTATAAAATTTGACTCCAGGCTGAAATTTGGGATAGAACAGTTCTGCCCATCAGCAATTAAGCTACAAGAATTACACATATAAATACATATACATCTTTAGAGCTGCAAGTATGTAAGAGCCCTGTAACACCTTAAAAAGTCCTCCTTTCTTTTTTCTTTTTCACTTGGGCATTGTTCAAAATTATGTGCACACACCGTAGGTATCATGCAGACAAGGCCCTCTCCACATTTCTTCTTCACTTGTATTATACCTACACTAATTCCACTAAGGCTTGACAGGTTCTGGAACATATTTCTAGGAGCTGGGATAACTGGAATGATGCCAATTTTCTGCCTTTTTTTTTTAATTTATATTCCACACACACACACACATCTGAGAGCATTATGAAGCTGAGGAGAAAACCACTCATACAATCAAGTCATTGATGAAGCTGTGGGTAAACATTTGTATCCTGACCGGTGTTCTTGCCATTTTCTCTCAGAATTCTCAAATAACTTCTCAGACCCAGTTCTTTTTTCTTCTTTTATTTTTTTTTTAACGGATGCCAGAAATGCAGTTCAAGTAATGGCTCCAAACAATCTCAAATCTAACATTCCTAAGTGATACTCACACCAGGCTCTGTAAAACTTGCAAGAAAACTGCTGCATGTCTATCTCATACACACATTAAAACATATTCCTGAAAACTGCAAAAGCATGACAAACCTTAACATCTACAAAGAAACTGTCGGGAGTCAGACAGATTATTATTTTTTAAATTGCTTAATTGTGCATTTACATTTAATTTCACCAACCACAAGGGCTGCAAGGGTCCACTATAGCTCATCATTCCAGTGGCGACACAAAACATATGAGCAGAAGAATCAATAGAAGTCAATGGAAAAATAAACGGCTGGTATCAAGGAAATTTTGAGTTTGAAGCTTGGGCTGGTATCAGAGTGTATTTCTAAAGCAGCTGCCTGTAGTCATATCACACCACACTAAGATGTCCTCATGTCTAACACGGGCCCAGCTGAATCACCGCTGCACCGCGGGGTACGGCGGGGAGCAGGGGGGTACAGCAACTTTGCATAGAAGGGGCACTGATTTCAGCGTCAGAAGGGACTACCACTGAACAGCAAATGAGACATGAAGCAGGCATTTTCAACATCTTTTGAGGCTCTTACAGAAATCCTGGCACTTTTAGCAGTGTAGTCTGCCAGTCCCAATTTCCCATTGTCACCCGAAGCTGGAAATGGCGGTGTGCCCACCCAAAAGCCCAGCTTGCGGGCATAGGGTGTCACGGTATGGGCTGGGTTCATGGAGCTCAGGCTCCGGAGAGCGCTCAGCACAGCCAGGCAGGGTCCCACATGGCAGGGGATCCAAAAGCCACCGCAAAGGCTCACAGGTGGTACCCAAGTTTTGGATGACTGTCCTCCGCTGATGCAGGTTAAAACACTTCCAGGGGCTCCCTAACCCATTTGCCTCGCACCGAAGACAAAGGCAAATTCCTCACTAGCTCCAGAAGGATCAGGATCATCACCCCAGCTCCCAAAAACATCCGGGCAGAGTATTCGCTGCACTGCAAAGTCTAGGATGACCATGTAATGACTCCGAGCCTGCCACCTTCAGCTTACAACAGTTTTTAGCAGCAAATTTAGGCGTGTGTTTGAGTATATTTTATGATAACGTTGCCTGTGGTGTAAATAGTGATGCATCAGAGGAACTCTGAAGAATAAATCACAAGTTTCTGTACTCTCTCCATCTATAAATACCCACTTTTCCTCTAATGCCCAAGAAGACTGCAACACAGATTTATTACTTACCTCCAGGCAAATTTGCTCTGAAATTACAATTCAGTAATAGAAGACTGACCCAAAAAAACTGTTAGTAAAATATTGTGTGTGTACTTGGGCATGTAGTTAGGATTGTTAATATCAATTAATTCTGCTCACAGAGGAGGACTTGTTTTAAAACAACTTCATTTTTCTTCTGCATATATGTAATTACACAGCTGTAACTAATAGCCATAGCAAAGCAATCTGCCATCTAAACAACTAGCATTATTCTTCAAAGTATTGCTTGTGCTTTTCTTCTTGTATTTTCTCAGTATAAGAGGGGATTAGTAGATATGATTAAATGTATATATCAAGCCTTTTAGTGAAGTACCAAGCCCTGCTTTTTGGCTCCGTCTTTAATGGTATATAGCAGTTTGCTGGACACAACAACCGTTTTATTCTGCAATGCTGATATGTGTCTCCCCATATAGAATAAGATAATATTTATTTTTACAGGATTTCACCACTACCACCCTTTTCTAGTGCATGTTATCACTCGTATTCATTTCTTTTATCTTTGTGTAAACCGTGTGCTCTATCACATTTGCCATTTTGTTTGGGTGACATTCCCATCAATCAAACGATTGCCTGTGCATGCACACAACAGAAACTATGAAAATTTACCAAAAATTTCATTATGCTTCATAGCACTCACTTGGAGAAAAAAAAAAAAAAAAGCTTTGGCATGAGAGGAAATTTTAGCTATGAAGAATCCCAAGCCTAATACAGACAAAATACATGTTTTGTCTGACTGTATTTCACAGGGTTCAGCACTTTTTAATTTAGTATTTATAGAACGACAGCACACAGAATAAACGTCAGCAAAACATACAGGTAACATTTGCCAGCCGCCTATTATAACAGGAATTCCTCAGGCACTACCAGCCTGGGTTTTGCTTCACGAACAGATAACCTCGACGCTTTCCAAAAGTAAATCTCGCTCTCCGGCAAGACTGGCAAAGTGCTTGGTTTTAAGTCCAGGTGTTTGGCTTTAAGCACTGCAAAGGTTCGTATACTTGCCCGTTCTTCCAGGCAGCTGAAGCGAGGGGAAACACTGAATACTCACACATGCAGAGGAGGAATGGGAGATGGTTCGTAATGGTAGCGTCCCTCATGATGTCTCGCATCAATTGGTACAGGAGGGTGGAATGCTGGGAAGAGGTGAGGCGGATCTGAAAAAACAAGCGAGGTTCCCGGATCTGAGTATCTGCAACAACTCTTTAAAAACAACATTCATAAAGATGGAACAGATACTGAAAAACACGTGTAACCAGTGCTATGACTTACAGGTCGCATTCTCCTTCCCTGTTGTAGTCAGTCAGGTCTGTCTGAGAGGAAAGTTTGGCCCACAGTGTTTGCATGAATATGTATTTACTAATTTTAATATTCTCTTTTTATAGCTTAAATGGAAAGGGACGTAAAGAAGTCTTTAATAAATAATTATGTGCCCATATGTGAAGTGTCAGATCAAAAGGACCATCAAGGCTTTCATAAGCATTCCTGATTTATTTATTTTGTATTAAAACAAGAAAAAAAAATCATCCCAGGACGAAAAGCCTAAGTAGAGAATACAATACAATAAAAAAAGTATATCCTCAGAGATATACATACAATCCCGCAACAGAAAGAGAAGCAGCGTGCTGAGAAATTACTACCTGGAGTAAATCAGACAACGGAGTTGAAAGGGAAATGCAATAGGGAAAGGCCATTCTGGAGATGCTTAACTGCATCACAGCAATGGCCGAATCCAGAGGAATGTGCAGAGGACAGCGGGACTCATTTCATACACCGCTCTTAAAAAGGAAGGGTGCTTTCTTTGTCCCCACGGCTGGAGACCCAGGGACACATGGCTGAAGTATGCTCCCTTGCCCCATCTCCTCCAAGGCTTTCGCAGGACAGAGGGGTTTGCAGCTGCCAGAGCTCCCGTTCCCCGCTGTTTCCGGAGAGCCTCGGCGACGAGGTTGACAAAAGAGGGAATGCGCCCCCACCGCCCCCAGGAGCTCTGCGCCGAGGGGCCAAGCGCAAGTTCCCCCCACAGCTCCCCACCGCTTCTGCAGCAGAATTGCCTCCCAGCTTTGGAGGACACAATGCACACGGACCACAGCTCTCCGCACCAGCACACCAGTGCGATTTGTGTGCCTAAAAGAGGTTACTGCCGACCGTGCTGTTCACCGTGCCTCCCGAATGCTCAAAATTCAAACGAGATGCTGAGCAATTCCAGCGGCATGAAACAAACCGATCCTGCCCAATTATTGCCACTTTGCATGAAGTCATGTGTTTATCCGACACCAAAAGCTGAGAAGTACAGACATTAGGTCATGTCATGGATTTACCAAAATGCTTCTAGAAAGAAAGAAAACTTTACATTATACACTGGCAGTAAAACTAAGCGTATTTCGGTTTTGCCTGCTGATTCTTGAAGGTATCTTCTCTTTGTATTTCCTGCCTCTCCTATTCAGCAAAATGTAATCTTCCTCTTATATTATCTGTGAAAGCAGTTCCCTCACGCCAACTAGAGATGGATAAAAAAAAAAGGATTTTTCTCCTTGGTGTTTGTCAAAAGTTGGGTTGGTTAATTATTATGTTTTGAAGTGGGAGAAAGAACTAGAGGAACAAACCTCATGGCCCTGAGGGAGTAAACGGAGGGGACGAAGGGGAAATGACATAAATTCTGAGGAAATATTCCCAGTACTTCAGGAAAATTTGGAAACATCTGACATGGCCTGTCCAGTTTCATGGCTTGTTTTTGTGAAACATCACCGGCATGTGATCAGCCACAGCACATTTCTGCCACTTACTCACTCAGGGCTTAGCCACTACTCATGGTATTTTTTATTGCGGTTCTGCTGCACCAACTGGACCTTGGCATGCAATCTGTTACAAGCTTCACTCCCCACGCTGAGCACTCCTGGGCTTCAG